AAGTAGCGAAAAAAAAAGTGATGGAATGATCGAACAGGAAGATTGTTTGAGTAACGCGATCGGTTAATATAACCAGAGATTGCATGCCATCACGAAACGGCATTCAATTGCCGAAGCATAAAGAGGAGCCATAATATCAACGAGGTTATTATTATATACATACGTCTTGCTCTTTATTGGGCATTACCAAATTTCATTTGATTTGATAGTCATAATCATAATTATAAATTCCAATCAACAGGTTTTGCATCGAGTCAGTTTTTTTAATTATTTAGCTCACGCTCGAGTTATATGAATTGTGGATTAATTCAATAATGGTTAAGTCGGGCTGAACTTTTGATTGCTGAGTTTATTTAAAGAATTTTGATTTTTTTAGAACAAACAGGGAATAGAATAAGCAGTTACCAGGGGCAGAAAGGTGTCAAACACAAGCACGAACAGTGAGCGACGTGGTGAGATTGACCGAAACGCGATCCTCTAGTTCATGCTTAGAACTATGCTTCAAAGTGTTGTGCACGTCGGTGCATTAACGTGCGATGGGTTTGCAAAAGTCGACCTCTGGCTTTTGCTATCAGTCTTGTGCCGTGTTTTCCACCGGGTGGAACAATTCTGTGTGGTACTGTTTATTGTTGTTCTTTATAATGCACGGCAGAGATGCACTGGAGCATACTAGTCTTTATCAACGAGCTGGTACTTTTTTATTTTTCCACATAAAAGTATTTTATATCTTTGTTATATGTTTTTAAAATATCAATGTATAAAAATATATTGATGTTAGTAGCACAAAGAAATACAAAAGATAGAGAGAAAATTAATTTTTGTGGAAAAGTTATTGATGATTTTTTGGTAATATTTAGAAGAGCTTCAGAAGCTATGTATTAAAAAAAAAAAAAATTGATTGTAAAGATGTATCCCAGTCTAGAAGTATTCAGTCTAGATCAAATAATTTCACTAATAAAAATAAAGCAACCTTGCAGTCACTAAGTGATTGCCGAGACTTGTGACCTATAAATAAATAAAATTTTGCATTATTAAATAATGACTTTTGTTAAATTACACTGTACTTTCTTATCTATTGACGTTTTTAAAGATATAAGCTCATCCCGATGTTACACTCATCAAGAGCTTTCATTTGAGTACCCACATGCATTTTCATATATTTTTCATATATACATATATGTAATATATATATAAATATATGAAAAATTGATGTGGGTATTCAAATGAAAGGTCTCGACGAGTGTAACATCGGGATGAGCTTATATCTTTAAAAATGTCAATATTTCACAACATATTTTTTAAAATGCTCTGTACTTTCTTAAATATTAACGTATTTACAGATATAAGCTCATCCCGATGTTACAATCATCAAGAGCTTTCATTTGAGTACCCACTTGCATTTTCATATATTTTTCATATATACATATATATGATATATATAAATATATTAAAAAATGATGTGGGTACTTAAATGAAAGGTCTTGATGAGTGTAACATCGGGATGAGCTTATATCTTTAAAAATGTCAATAGTTCACGAGATACAAGGTTATTTTTTAATTATGTATCTAGAAATAGAGCATTTTTGAATGCAGCCTATGCTTATCATCATTAATTAACTATCGATGAGAATGATATGAAACCATGAAAAGGCACAACTCCAGATCAAGACTTTTCTAACGATACCAAATTTAACCATAAAAAGGCCATTCGGTAGCCGAAATGGAAGTAGATTTCATTTTTACTTATTAATTAAAATTACAATTAGACTTTAACGTACGATTTTTTTTTTATAATCATTAGAATCGAAGTTTACACAGTTATTATATAAAATTTATTATAATCAATAATTATAACATGAGATTTGTTAATTACTTATTATTTACATGAAATATGTTATAATTTATAATTAATCAATTTTGTATAATGTTGACTTAATTTTGGGACCATAATTTTTTTTTTTCATTTATTGTTTAATTATTATTATTGTTATTGTTATCAACATGATTATTATGACATATTCATCTTCATTGCGTTCGGATTTTAATCTTTTTTTTTCCTAGAAAAAAAAAATAATTAATAAAAAGTAACTTTGTTAAATAAATTATGGTTAATTTCTTCATTTTTTTTATATTTTTATCTGTTTAATTTCTTTTCTCATTTTATTTTTTTTTCTTTTTATCTTTGTTTTTTTCTTTTTATATTTTTTATCCAATTTATATTTCTATTAATTTCTTAATCATTTTTTTTGACATTCATTTTCATAATTTTATAATTTATATAAATATTAAATTGTATAATTAAATAGAAATATGTATCATTACCTTCGTTTTCATCATCTATTTCAATTGTTAAATAAGGTAACGAAGTAAAATGATCATTACTTAACGTATACGGTATAATATTTACCTCCGATGTATTGTTAACTTCAAATCTAAATTCATGTACAATAGGATTGTTAAAAAATGGATCCAAAACACCAATTCTTGCTATCGATTTTTTTATAATTATTAACTGATGCAAGTGAATGTTATTTATATCTTTAAATGAAGTATCCATATAAATTGCATATCTCATAATTTTTCCTTCAGATATCAAAAAAATAAAGCGATATTCGAATTCCACCCACTGAATTCCCACTATTGTCGTAACAAAACCTGAAAAACTATTTAAAATAAAAATTAACATCACCTTCTTAGAAATTATCAAAAGTTTTTACACAACAAAATAAATTATGATTATTTTATTATATTTCTGAAAATAATATAAAATCTTTAATTGTACCACTTACTTTGATTCTTCACCATTGCCAAAAAGTCTGAGTTCCTGACTCGACTCGTTCAAAAGTTATTTGAAGGAAAAGTAATGAAAGTATCAAATTTTCAAAATTTCAAAATTTTGAACTGGTGTAATTTCTAAACTATTTGACCGATTAAGCTCATATTTGAACTTGACCTTCCTAATAGTCGATAGAATAAGTATGTTGAGTTTCATTAAGATCCCTTAAGAATTGTTGACGCTATCGTCGTGACAAGC